GGCGAACCATAGTTAGTGAAACAATCTGCGAGAAAAGTGGACAAGCTATTCACAATGGGGAACAACGGCTTGACCGGTGGGCGGAGTACTTCACCGAATAGTTCAGCTGGCCAGGCGCTAATCAGACTGTCTCCGGTGTAGCTGAGGCTCGACAATGTCATCTGAACCTCCTACTGCAGCAGAAGNTCGTTCTTGCATCCAAGCCCTGAAGAAAGGAAAAGCGATAGGACCGGACGATCTTCCTCCCACTCTTCAAGATGGAGACGATGACCTCGTAGACTCCATTACTGATATACTGCGTAACATCTGGGCACACCAACGCATTCCATCATCCTGGAGCGAATTACTGATCTTTTCAATATTTAAGAAGGGATCTCGCAACGACTGCGCAAATCATCGTGGAATAAGTTTGATCCCAATCGTCACCAAGTTACAAGCCTCTATCATACTTCGACGTCTGACACCGTTTAAGGAGTCAAGCACCCGCGAACAACAAGCAGGTTTTCTACCAAGTCGCGGTTGTATCGACCAAATCTTCACTCTGCGTCAAGTCCTCGAGCTGCGCCATACGCACCGTCGACCAACGATTGTCGTCTTCATTGACCCAAAAGTAGCCTTCGACTCAGTTGATCGTGAATCCCTTATGGGTTTACTCCTTCGCAAAGGAATGCCACAGAAGCACGTGAACATACTGAGTTCACTATACTCGCGTATTTCTTGTAGCGTAGGGGGTCTACGGCGAACTGATTACGTCGTTCGTAGCTAGCAGCGGCTTTCGTCATTCCTATTCAATTTCGTCGTAGACGAAATCCTGGAGAAATGTAGGTATTGAATAGGTAGCTGGTGAAAAGGTGTGCTATTTGGAGTACGCTGACGACATCGTTTGCTTGTTCGAATGTATGGAGAATGCCCAAAGAACACTTGACAGATTAGCAAGTTCTGTCGCTCCGTTCGGTATGTGCTTTGCACCTTCAAAGTGTAAAGTGATGCTACAGGATTGGGTGTCACCGAGTTCTGCTCTGAACCTAGACGGTCAGGAATTAGCTGCGGTTGATTGCTTCTCGGACTTAGCTGCGTGACCAGCGACGGTAGCGCACTAAAGGAGATAACCTCCCGCATTTCCAAGGTTTGAGCAGCGTACATAGGACTTGAAAACCTGTGGCGGTGACGTAATGTTTCATTGAATGTGAAAAGTCGCGTATACTGCGCCACTGTACGACCAGTTCTGCTTTGCGGGTAGAGGACATCCGTCGCCGAGTAGTTTTCGACAATCGATGCTTACGTAGTCTGGCCCAAGTGGGATAAGTTAAGCGTGTTGGTAACGTAGAAGTAAGTCGTCCATAGAGGTTCGCTTTCTTTTCCCGTCCCTAAAATGAAGTCCAATCCCTATCCTCCTTACACATTCTCACTTACTTTGTATGCAATATGAGTTTGGCAGCGGTCAGTGAATTTCGCTTCACTGTATTACGCTGTACAATGATGATGACGATGATCTAAGAGAAACTTATTGTGTGTACAGTAATCTTGTATGTACAATAAGCCGTCGATCTGAGGTGGTGGGCCAACAAGTACGGCAGCACGTACACACCGGTGGTGGCGTTTCCCGCAGAGTAAAAGCACAGAAGCTTACATCGAAAGGCCCCTAGCTAATAAGTTTTATAGAACTAACAGTACCCGTCCCCTTCATAATTAGTGAATTTCGGCCTGGGGTGCTCGGCCGTTGGGTGAGTGGGCTTTACCGTCCTACTGCGTCCACGGCATGAGCAGTTCTGCTGCGGTTTAAGGTTCAGTTCAGTTCAGTTTATACATCCATTAACCATGCTTTTCGTGCGGCGGTTTCGATTATTGTCTTTTGACTGCCCATTTGTATGAAGCGGTCGAAGAAAGATTGATGTGATGAACTCGAATGATTAGGCGACGAACCAGAGAGAGAGAGAAAACGGACAGCTGGAAAGGAGGCTTTAATCTTCTAACGATATAGGTATATCGTCTACAATAGAAAGATAGAAAATTTACGTTATCAGTAAACGGTGATGCCGTGGTATCAAGAAAGATTCAATGTATAACAAAATCACCACATTCTTCCGCACTGAGTGAAATGTCTGTGAATCAGTGCATTTTTCAAACCTCCCTAGTACGAAGGTTGAATGGGTAGACCCGCTGCTGGTCTCTTATGAGCTGTCGTACGTGTTCCGTGGCGTCAAACTAAATTTCTGATTCTGGAGATTCATTTTCCAGTTGNCACCCCCGAGGGTGTGGATTGTTCTTCCGTGAGGTTCACATGCTGATCTGTGGTTTCATGAGTGTTTTCCGATGGAGACGCGTTCGGAGCAAGCAGCCTTAATGATACAGCTTCCTCTTTTCCATTCGGAAGACGAATATGAGCATATTGTCGATTGCAGTTTAGGAGTTCTACTTCTTCTGTTAAGGGATCATATTTTGAATGTGGATTCATTCTTTTGAGAAGAACTAGTCCCGGAGTCTACAACCATATCGGGAGAGAAGTACCATTGGTAGGTTGGTTTTTGGGGGCGGGGGTTACGGCTGTGGTCGTGGCTTCTTCCACTTCCCGAGCCATTCCACTTTTCTCCCTGGAAATGACTTTTGTCGTCATTCCAAAAGCCTCCTCTACCCCCACAGGTACATCCTCCTTCACTTTTGGAGTACCTAATCTCCGTTGCAATCGAAGAGCTGGGGACTTTGCAGCTGCTGGGGATTTCGCTACTATTGTCGTCCATTTAACTGGAACGATAAGGGTACCGGTAAATTGGCACACCTATAAAAAAATGTTTCATTTGGAACAAGTCTCCAGAATTTCCACAAGCACACAGAATAATTAATGGAACGGTCCGACGGTAGATGCGTATTTTACGTAATTACCAGTTACTAATGCACTCTAATAGATCTTTTTGATTTTTGACCGTTGAGAGAAACAGTCAATCACGTTCGTTTGCGCAATCCAAAGATGCTACTCACAACACTGGGTGGATCGTAATTGATGCCGTAGGTCTCCCAACTAATTGAATTCTGTGGACAGCACTTTGGTTTGATCGGAAGTTGAGCAGTCCGTCAGAGAAAAGTTTCTGCCATGTTGCAGGCGGTTTTGTCCAGCAACGCCTGCCTTTTCTCAAGTAGTTCCAAAAGAGCGGCGTTGAATTTGCATGTGAGACGAGTCCTCCCGTGAGCAGTCAGGTGGATCTTGAAGTGGGCGCGTACAAGGGTATAATCCGTGCCGTTCCTATTTTTAGTTCCTGCTCCACAAAAAGAACGGCAATCTTTCACTGAAGAGGCCTAGTAAGCACATATCAAAATGTCATCAATCTGATGTACTCGATCGTCATTCGTGTGCCAATTAAGTAAGTGTTTTCTGAGGTGCTGGAAACTGGTGTTGGTCACGACTAGCCGTTTAAGGTCAACAAATGTGATTAGGAGTTCGCCACTTTCACAATGTTGACCGCGGCCGAACTTCCTCAAAACATGCCGAGTATGTTCGTCGAATGGACCAGTGCATGCATTCTAGTTTCCTGCGATTAGGAAAATATCGCATCTCGTAATGCGGTTCACTGCGTCTTGAACCTACTTATAGAAGTCGTCTATGATGGGAATGTCCGCATGTGACGTTAGAGCATAGACAGCGATAACACAGGTTAAACGGTTTACCCATGAAGCGCGATGTGGCAGTCCTGGGGGAGTTTGGTTCCGTGATCATTGTTGGCCCGGTCGCACATCGATTGCTACTCCGTGCAAACTGGACTTATCAATTGTCCCGCTGTGGTATAACCTGTAGGTTGCGTCGCTGTGGTTGATTTGTTCTCTGCAACAGTTGGGTAATCGAACTTCGGACAAACGGCGATGTTTACTTTTTAGTTATGCAGTGAACGCATTGCAATACACCGACTTCCTATATCTAGCAATGTCTAACATTCCAGCAAGCTACTTGAATGCTGGATCCGGTGTACCGGTAGTTTAGGTTCCCAGGTTGCTCATTTGTTACCCCAGTCAATGGGAGAGCGCAGGGCGCGTCGCTTCCCGGGAACGCTGTTGCATGATCGCGGTGTACCATCGTAAAACGATCTTGGAATAAATTTGGGAATGGGATGCCAAGTGGCGTCCCTAGCGACGCTCAGCTTTTGTTCGAGGGTGCACCTCCAACTCTGGCCCAACCAAGTGCAACCCGCAGGGTAACAGGGTAGAAAGGTGATAACTGGTGACCCTCAGAACGATTCAAACATCTTTCGGATGGCTCAGTGACAGTTCAGGATCCCATTGTGTCCGTGAAATCTGAGAGTCGGTAGCTAGTGTTGATCTCATACACTCCTCAAAGCATGGCTTGCACCGGTGAGTAGGCAAGTGGCAATGACCTTATTTGGTGATGAGCCACATTCGCACGCGCCCCGATGCTGTCAGCAGACACTGGCTTTTAAAAGAGATATCAGTTGCCAGCCAAAACCCAAAAACCTCTACCATCGCCACTGATCGTCCGCGACCGATTATCCAATGAGGTATCCCCGCCTATTAACGGCTAACTATCAAGGTGACCGTTCCCCTATCCGCATCCTGGAGACGCGCTCGAAAGCACTCAGCTGCGCTATCCGTAGACAATCCATTATCTACGACCAATTACCAGCCTTCGAATGGCATTGCTTTGAGCGAGATATCGAATTTAATTCACAGAACTAAAATGAATGTGATCTATATCCTTCGGTTCTTTATTTTGCATAATTTCGATATATAAACTGTTCACTTTAATTTACTGAAAACCAAGGCTCTGCAACCCTCTATTCAAATCACGGAATATGCCCATTGATTCAGAACACAATGTAGGTGAACATATATTTTCGGTTAAACAGTCTCATTGTGTTCTTAATCCTCTATTCATTGTTCTTATTTAATTAACGGTAGAATTATTACTAACTTCGGCTTTTTGTGTTCCAGATTTGAACTGTGCACTCCTCCTCTCATCCAATCATCTTCGCAGGATGCGGCTTTCATTTCGGTTCATGAAATTGACAGGCGCGTTCGCCGAGAAGTTTGTCAAGTTTGGAGCCTATTCCCCGACTCCACTCTCTTTGAAAAAACTTACCGCATTCGCCCAAGGTGGCTCAGCCATAAAGTCTGCCATATTCCTATGCGATGAGCTGCCCGTGCGCCTGGCCAACATTATGCAAGAAATTCAGCTCCTTCCCGATCGATTGATTCAAACACCTTCGGCGTCATTAGTGAATCGTTGGTTGGTTTTTAACTTTTCACCAAACGACGTTGTCCTATTTCGTTGTTTTAAAGGTATGAGCAGAGTTTCTGTGAGTTGGCGGAGTTCGATGCTTCTGATTTGAATGAGAAGATGTTGGACAAATTCAATCAGAAACTGGCGCAAATTCGAAATCGTCATACAACCACAGTGGAAACCATGGCTCAAGGTGTAATGGAAATGCAGGAGAGACACAAAACTGACCTAATCACAAACAATCAAGTGCAGTATTTCCTCGACCGTTTCTACATGATGCGTATCAGCATACGAATGTTGATCAATCAACATTGTAAGTGAATTCCGTATGCGCATTATTTTTGATGAGTTTTACTGATATTGGTGAATAATAATTCTCTCAAGTGTCAGTCACAGTCTTCATACATCTTCCACACACACACACACACACACTGTCTGGTTCGCAGTAAAATAACGTCGACTGAACTATCATGTGGTTTATCTGATCGGCTGTCGCTGTATGAGCGGATGCCATATTGGGTTGGTAACTGGCTTAGGGTAAAAATCCAATCAGCTTTTTCTGTTTTAAGTGGTCACTCCTTTGGCTTTGTTTCCGAAGATGAAGTACAACTGTCTAATTTTTCAAGCATCATTTTTTTCTCCCCTGGGAGTTGCGTTTAATTTAAAATCCAATCCAATGGTTAACCCTTTTGAGAACACTAAATGCTTCGACTGAAGTGTTACTGGTACGAATATAAAGCCGATCTTTGTGAGCCACCGATACCGGAGGGTTAAAAGTATTCGACCATCAATGCTTATATCGAATCCTCAAAATGTCATCAAGAGTTGAGGAGGCCATGCTACGACCTTGCCAAATTACCCGTTCTCCTTCAAAGTGGCCGGCTTTTGAAGATTCGGCCACATCCTACGGCAACCGGAAATATATTTAATCAAGCAAACACTCATTCCTGTTGTTTGGTGGTTAGTCCAAACAGCGGATTAGATATATTGAAAACAAATATGCTGATCCCGAATTCAGAGCTCCAGTGAGATATGCAGTAAAGTGGCACGTTGCCAAGCACGTTAATGTACTCGGTATTTTTATTTATTTGTTTTTTACTTTTGCTCCGATTCCATCCTAACCTATTTTGTAAATGCTCTTAGTCCGATAATTTTCTGCTCGGTCGAACTTCAGTCGAATTATCATCGGTGTGGGAGTTATTATGAACAATAAACAGTATTGAAGTATAGCACATTTTCAAACATTATGCCGGAATGAACCTGGAAACAAAGAAACAAGTTCAGACTCGTCCACAACAACCGTATGGTGTACTGCATTACCCAACTGTGACCGCGCTTCCTCGTCACCACCATGTCCCGTTTGTTTCTCCTTTCTCTCTCTCTCTCACGCACAGTGCTCATGTTTGGCTCGGATGTGAACAAACACATGCGCTTTGTGGGCTCCATCGATCCGCATTGCAATGTGCTGGAGATTTTGGAAGACGCTTACGAAGATGCGAAATTCCTCTGTGAACATTACTATTCCACTGCGCCAGAAATGAAAGCGGAAACTGTCGGTGGTACGTCCGGATCGTTTCAGTTGTGAGCCATTGACCAGCTCCGACTCGGGCTGTTCACATTTTTTCATCACTGTTCTTTGCGGAGATTATTTTACATGAACCCCATTCGTTCATTCGCGCGCCACGTGAAAAATCATCCACGCATTTGTAGCCATATGAAAACTGCGTGATACATCTCTGGTATTTGATGAACAAGTGCGAAATATCGGTTCGTTTATCCATCAATTGATTTGCGGGCTTCAGGAGAAACTTTTCGTTGCTGAGATTGCACTGTCTGAAGGTGTGCGTATTTGGGATGGGGGGGTGTCGGAAAAATGCGGCTAGTACAAAGCCTAGTAATGTGTAGGGGACTGCTTTTCGTAGGCCCACTCATTCCTGTGCACATATCCCCTGGTCTGTATCGTTTTGTTGATTTCCTCGTTTGTTTTACCGGATTGGTATTTTCCGGTTTTTATCCAGTCACTTCATTTGCGATAAGCCGGAATCATTCAGTGTGTATATGTGCGCCATTGATAGATCATCTTTCTGTGAAACTGGATTTTATTTCAAACAAAAAAGAAACAAATCCTTTCTTGGTGTTAGTTGTTGCTCCGCATATAAACATTCTAGTCAATGGATGTTTTTTGAACTCCTCCCATCCCCCACCCTGCACGCTCTTGGATTCCCGTTTGTCGCTCACTTCCTTTTTTCTTGAATGATTTTAGCTGTCAATGGCAAAATCGAATTTGTCTACGTC